GGTCTTCAGGACGATGCTGTTGGAAGTCCTACTTTATGTACAAAAATAAAGCAGCCCCTAAATAAAATACAAAGATAAACAGAAGTTGTTAAAATTATTATATCTTATATTGCTGACATTATTCCCGTGGCGAAGCACGGGCTGTTAACTAGTTTCCTGTAAAAGGAGCGTATTTTGATTAAATTTGGAAATGCATTTATTTTACACTTAACTATTGACATTTCACAAATACACTTATTACCCTGCCTCTTGCAGCAAACCTATGTGCACTCATTAAACTAATGCTATTTGAATAGGGAATAAATAGTACATTTTGAAAGATATATTTTACTGGTAATGCAATCAGGCAAATGGAAGTTCGCTCAGTCTGCAGTTTTGCTGCGGCGGGGGTATTATTGTAATAACAGCAGCAAACCTTTTGGAAACTTCAACTCACGTCCATGCAAATGTGCTGTAGCCTTTGTTTTGGTAAAAACTTTACCAAAACAACTACCGTAGATATTAGGAGTGGCCACCGCGCGGAGTTAGACTTGACACTAAAAGTGACCACCGCGCGGAGTTGGACTGGACCCTTCGGGGGCCATAAAACTTTTCGTCATCTTAAATCTGACCACCGCGCGGAGTTGGGCTATCCCCTTATAAAAATCGGTCGGGTAGAATAGCTAACCCGACTCAGAAAAGAAAAACCAATAATTTTTATAGATGGCAATAATTGTTTTTACCAGTATGCTCTAATTATACGAAACATGTGTTAATAATTTAAAAGCTTATTGTTATATTGTTACTTTTTTCCTTCATTAAATGTTGTTGGTAACAATTTGCATTTGTGTTTAAAGTGTGTTCCTTATGTTAAGTGTGTGATTCTAATGTTATGTGCTTAATCTGTACCTTTAATATTAATGAGTAATGTGGTGTATGGATTTCATAACCATCATTTTACTAGAGACCGTTGTATTTCACCACAACGGGCTCTTTTGCTAGTGTATAGTTTGGTCACATTTGGCAAATTTTAGCGAATTTCCCCTAAGCTATTGCCGTAGTACTCATGGTAAGACCTGGCCCTGGGACCGATTTACTTTTTCGTCTTGAAGTCCCTAGAGACCAAAAACACCATCCGTTCAAATTCATATATATATATTTATTTATATATGTGTCCGTTAGCGCGATAACTCGAGCAAAAATCATTTGATTTTGATGAAATTTGGTACAAACGTGTAAACCTACGTTTATTCGAACGAGTTCGCGAACCAGCATAATCGGACTATGGGAACAGGGGTTTATGGGGGGTTTTATGGGGTAAAAATTGGTTTTTCCCATTTTTGACCCTAAAAACTTAAAATTTAGCAATTTCTTTCCAAACCATTTTGTAGAGCTGAAAAAAACTAATGATTTAGTATATTGAAGCGTTATTATGCGCCTAATGATTACGGAGAAAATTCTAAAAAACTGTAAATTTCAAATTCCCATGTTATTCTTATGGAGAATAAGTAATCTGATGTAGTTTGCTTGTTTTTGTACATATTTTGATCAAATTTGGAAAATGCGTTCATTTAATACTGAACTATTAACATTTTACAAAAAAAAATTTTTTTCCTCCCTGTTGCAGCAAACCTAAGTACTTGTTTAACTAAATAGGCTATTTAAATAGGGAATAAATGTGATATTTTTAAGGAGACATTTTAGTGTAAATCCAATCAGGCAAATGGAAATTCGCTTTGTCTGCAGGTTTGCTGCTGCGGGGGTATGTTTATTTTATCCTATACTGTACTATTAAAAAAAAATTTTATCCCTTCCTGTACTTTCTCCATTCCCCGTAGTAGCAAACCTAAGTACTGGGGAAATCTGATGTTATTTAAATTGGAAATTAGTACTGTATTACTTGTTTAAGGAAATAATATAGTAAAAATTCAATTAACCGAATCGTAATTCGATTAGTCTGCAGGTTTGCTGCTGCGGAGTACTTGTAACATAATGTATACAGGGTGTTTTTTTTAAGTGTGCCACCATTGGGATCTCAGTAACTAATGATTTTACAGCAAACTTTAAATGGGGAACATTCCCTTGTTTTAAAAGAGATTCAAAAATAATTGAATAAAATTTTTGTAAATGGCCGCCATTTTCCAATATGGCGGCCAACTTAATTTTTTCTTATGGAACACCCTATATTTTATCATGTTTTCGGATAGAACATACAATTTAAAAACTTTTTTATTCGTGACATTTTTTCGATAAACTCACTCGTTTAGGAGCTACAGAGAGGTAAAGGTTTAAAATAAGATGTATTAGTTTCAAGTGAGCTCGTGGCTTATTCTTATTTTACTTGCTGTTTATAATAAGAAAATAATTAAAGTTATCTACTGTACACAAAGGAAAGATTTATTTTAATTGTAACAACTTCACTTTTGATACAATAAACTATTTACAATAGGTGTTCAAAGTGGCCACCATCTGTATAAATACAAGCAGTCGCCCTTTTCAAAACATCATTCACCACAGCCTTATTGAGTGTGTTGTGGTGTACTCCATGAAGGATTTCTCTGACTCTGGTTGTCATATCTGCAACATTGTTGTATCGGGATTTGTACAATTCGTCTTTTAAAAAACCCCATAGAAAAAAATCCATAGGTGTTAGGTCTGGGGACCTCGCTGGCCATTGTAATGGGCCATTTGTACCAATCCACTTTCCAGGAAAGTGAGTGTTCAAAAACTCCACTGCAACCCGACTGTTATGTGCTGGGGCACCGTCTTGTTGGTACACCAACTGGTTTCTTACATTGATAGGTAAATCCTCAATTGAGTCCAATAAAATGTTCTCTAAAATCTGCAAATACATATGTCTTGTCAAATTTCCCTCATAAAAGTGTACTGCTATAACTGCATTATTTAACTAAGCACACCAACAGTTTATCGAGAATCGAACTTGGTCATGTCCTTCTCTCACTACTAATGGATTTTCTTTAGCCCAGTAATGGTAGTTCTTCCGATTCCACATTCCTCTATTTGAAAAGTTAGTTTCATCAGTCCATATAATGTTCGATAAATACCCTGGTGTATTTACAGCCTCCTGAGCTAACCATCCACAAAACTGTAGCCTCCTATTTTCATCACCCGGCAGCAAAGCTTGAACTGTCGCATACTTATAAGGGTGGTACTTGTTTTTCTTTACTACTTTAAAAACTGAGGAGGTTGTAGTTTGCAAAATGGGTGCAACTTCTCTAATAGAAGCATTAGGAAAAGCCTCAAAGTATGCCAAAACATCAATTTCAAATTCATCAGTAACAACTGTGCTTACTCTCTGACGTGGCTTCACAAAAGAACCATTGGCTGCCAAGTTTAAAATAAGTTTTTTGAAATATCTACGATTCGGTACTCGCCTATCAGGATACCTCTGTTGATATGCGATATTTGCTGCACTACAGTTTCTGTTACACAGAAAATACACTTCGACCATGTCAAGTTTTTCATTGTTTGTAAATTCCATAGTAAGAAAGCTTTCACAATAAGCGTAATAAAAAAATAAAACTAATAAAACTATTCAAGTTAAAAACCACAAGAAATTATAAATAAATGGCACGGTGAACGACAACTATTCTCAGACTGCAAGTTTGCAGGTTACAACAAAACCAATGCTATTCCAACAATGCTAGTAAACAGCTGGAAATGGAAATGGTCGATAGAGTAATAACAGCTGTTATGAAAACCTAACTAAATTAAACCTTTACCTCTCTGTAGCTCCTAAACGAGTGAGTTTATCGAAAAAAAGTCAAGAATAAAAAGGTTTTTAAATTGCATGTTCTATCCGAAAACATGATAAAATATAGGGTGTTCCATAAGAAAAAATGAAGTTTGCCGCCATATTGGAAAATGGCGGCCATTTACAAAAATTTTATTTAATTATTTTTGAGCTTCTTTTAAAACAAGGGAATGTTCCCCATTTAAAGTTTGCTGTAAAAGCATTAGTTACTGAGATCCCAATGGTGGCACACTTAAAAAAAACACCCTGTATAAGATAAGGAAAGACCACTAACAGCTCTTAAAAATACATCATTCTCTCTGTGACAAACTTCCGGTAAAATGAATATATATATATATCCATTGACTATTATATTACTAATTGTGCTTTAACTCATGACAGCAATCATAAAAGGGAAAGAGGTTATAATTATTGAGATTCTTTGAAGTATTAGGTGTAGAAGAGGGACAATTAACTAGGGTGCGGCAAAGTTATATTTAACTTAGAAACAGTCTAGCACTGCCTCCAGAAGTTTGGCTGAATGCCCGTTACTCCTGTCCTGGAGCGATGGGTCGATAGTTTAACAAATTCAATTGTTATAAGATCGTTATTTGTTTCAAAAAGGGGGATTGAATTAATCTAAAAAACGCCTGGTAAAATACAACAAAGCGACAGTTGAGTTGGCCTATTTTAAATGTTTAAATAGTTGAAAATATTACACAACTTATTAATTTGTGCTATTAGCCGATGTATAATCGTCTCATTATAATACGAACTGTTGAGGACTTTTTTGACACAGTTACATTTTACTATTTTAAATATTATAGTTTTCAATGACAACCCTTTATTATCAACATAGATTTAAAATAGAAAACTTGTACTTTTTAATGAGAAACGAATTAACCGTCATGAGATTATGATCTCTTTAACTACACCCTAGCAATACACTTCCGACACGCTTCTTTGCGTCTAACATGTGTCCAAATGATTGTTTTAAATTGTTGAGTTATATTAAACAATACATAAATATAAATAACTTGTTTTCCATGCAATCAACATAGCCCAGATTTTTTTTAGTTACAGATTTTTATGACCCAAAGTTAGATTACATATCTTTGATAAATCTCAAAAATATACCAACTTTGTTGGATTTGTAGGTTTTCTAGGGACAATTTGTTATTGATCAATCCGGTTGCTATCGAGAACGTTCACTCGCGATTATCGATAGCCGATCGTTGCTGGAGAGCACACGACTCTCGAGTCCCCACAGTGCCCTCAGCTCTATAGTCTATAGTGTCTAGCGATGGCAGTGTTGGACCCGTCTGTCTGTGTGTGCGCCATTTTCGCAGCTTTGGCTGTCGGTATTGCATTTTTCTACAGGTAAATTACCGGTAACATATTTAAGCTTATTTATTTATAATTTTACAATAGTATGCAGTCTACTTCTATAATACTAGTAATTAGATTGATTTTTTTTGTATTTGTGCCATTTAATCTATATAAGATGACATATTTAAGACACATTTTTAAAATCACTTGTTTAGTTTGTAAATTTGTACACAGCTTTGCGAAAAATGTGTTGCATTACTCTTACACTGAACACAATGTGGACACTCAGTCATGCAAAACTAATATAGGACTACATAATAGGGGTCCAAGGTAGTTTTGTATAAATATCAACCCTTCAAAAATAAGGGTATAACAATTGCCCATGATCACGTTTGTACAAATCAATTTAAGTAGGTAATTCCCCGGTCATAATCTATCTATCTATCTATAATATTAAAACGTAACAGGGGTTTTTTTTATTTCACGATTCTGAATCAACCCCTCGACGGATTTTCATGATTTTTGTGTTGAAAGAAAGATAATTTTGAGAACTAGGGAATGTCGAAGCCATAATTTTAGTTTAGGGTCCCAGTTATTTAAAATTAAGTTTTAATTTTTGAAAAGTCTAGCAGCCGACGCTGGGATTCTAAACTAGCTTTTGGTTTAATATAATTTGTTTAACATAACAGCTGTAAACATTCAGCGTTTGTAACTCAAATTCAGCATTTGGATAAAATTAAAAGACATACTAAGGGTTGACTTATTCATACTATGTGTAGGCCTAATGCTAATCGTTGATACGTTCAATCCTTCGATAAGAGGATGACAGATTATTTAGATATACATAGTAAAATACTGATATTCAAATGATTTTTTTATTAAATCTTTGTAATCTTCTGTTTGTTTTAGTGCAATATAATTTTCTTTTAACTAACAGCTGCTGGTTAAATATAAAAATGCTCTATAGAACTATGAGGTCATTTTATATACTCTGATGTTGTCATTGATCATAGGAAATGAGTAAGATTAGTAGACCACCGACATAAGTAACACCATCGATGTATACAAGTCGAGGCTCTGTACACGAGTCTTAAAAAAAGGATATGCAAATTATTTTACTGCTCAACTTTTATAGGAAAGGGTAGGAAAATCAATTTTTAACAAGTTTTAATTCATCTTGGTAGCTTTTTATTTACAATCAATGTTTTGGAATGCTTAAACTTTGTTTGGATTAGGCCCGGAAATATTGATGGCATAAAGAAGGAGATCAAGAATCCTCAAGAATACGATGATTTTAAATTACCACCAAAAGCTCAGACGGGTTTTATCCAAAGATATATATATATATATATATATTAATTTGAAACTGTTTTTCTTTGTGACAGCTATTTTGAGAGAACGGCTGGGCGTAGAAACTCGGTAGAGGTGTCTAAAGAAAGGTCCTGGTTTGTAGATGAGCCATCAAAAGAGAAACATGGAGAATTCCCTCGGGGCTCTGCCCCAGTGGCCTTTAAATTCCCATCCCATGTTATTCTTATGGAGGAAAACGAGGTTTTTGTCACAGCTAATTTGAGAGAACGGCTGGGCGTAGAAACTTGGTAGGGGTGTCTAAAGAAAGGTATTGGTCTGTAGGTGAGCCCTCAAAAGAGAAACAATGTAAATTTCCTTGGGGCTCTGCCCCAGAGGCCTTTAAAGTTCACTCTGCAATTTTGTTTACATTTCGACCATATGGATAATTTTACACTACTTTTAATGAACCAGCTGTTAATAATAAAATTGTATTCAAAGGTCTACTGAAACTGTCAAAATTAAATGTTTACATTATTATTTTTTATTTTAAATGGATTCTCCACTGCATGGCAAGTTTTTTATAGTTTCAACAAAATGATGAATTTATGATACGTTTTAAATGTTTTGTTCAAAAATCTATGCTTTATTGCTCTTAGAAAATTTTAAATTATGAAATAAGTGTGACTTATCAATTTCAAAGGAATCCCTATTCCTTATTGGGTTAGCTTATACATATTGTAAGGTTGGCACTTGCCTTTTTTTCCAACTTTCAATCACCATTTATTTTTAAATTCAAGAAAGAACACCTGAGATTCATTTATTGGTATAACAGTTTTTGATAATCGGGTTGAAAATTGTGTCATAGATGAGTACGTTGAGGATGAGAGCTGTGTTCAAGTTTTGGAATAGACTAACTACGGAGTCTATGGTTTTGGTAAAGTAGGTGAACTAATGTCAATTCAGGTATTTAAAAAAAAGTGTACACAGTTTTTACTTTGATGTACACATGTAGCTAGGTTGAACAACGCATCTGAACCTCACTACATACAAAACATTCGGAAACACAACAGTGTCATCACATCTCATCGCATTTGCATAATTTGTTACCTACCAATGCTGGACTAGGTTATGGATTTGTATCCGCAAATGTTCAAGATTTGTGATAAAATTTCCTACAATTATGGTTCATTCCAATCCACGAAATACATGCACAGCTTTATGTGATCTATATGGCCAAGGCAAAACTACCCCATAAGTTAATGAATTATCAAGTAAGAACAGGATGATTAAATACATGGGTCGATGTGGCAAGAGAAGGATTTAAAATTGCTGAGATTGAAGTAAGAATGTTACTGCTTTCTGGAGAATCAGATATTTTTATAAAAAAAAAGATGAAGATTTACTTATAAATCCGGATACAATCTGAATGATTTTCCTAAAGCAGATGGAATTAGTGGTTGGTAATAAATATTGACTCTTTCCGTAACATGATAGACTAATTATATGAACTCATTCTCCCATATAGTGAAAGTGGCTTTGGTATGAAACAAACTCATGAACAAACAATTATAAGACTCCTAAAAAACTTTTTGGGCAACCTAAAGCCGATAAAAAGAAAGGTAGGAAATATTGTGTTAAACGAATTCATCAATCACGTTTTTTAGGGAACACAATCGTCATACTTATTATTGCTTATTTCGTGTAAATGTAAAAAAAAAAACAAAAAAAAAACTCGAATGTATTCAACTGAACAATACAAGCATACTATGATTGCATCAGTTTTCTATTTTTTTTTTTTTTGCCATATATCTGTTTATTTAGATAGGTACATAATTAATAGTATATTTTAATTTCCCTACTAGTCACGAAATGGGATTTTCGTGACGAATATTGAACGATACTTTTTATCACGTGGAAAAAAACTACTTTAACAAACTTTAAAAAAAAGTCTGAATTTTCTAATCTATTCATTTTTTCACCTCAACACAAATTAAGCTGATTGAACATCAACTAACCGGGGACCTCAGTTAGTTGTGGTTGTAACTTTGTTGATGTCATGTAAAGTATTGTTGGTGTGGCCAAAGTAATGTTTATGTCAGGAAAAGTCAGCTGATCACTATTTGTTTTTGGTGTGTGGAAATTGAAGATTTTCGAAGATCTCAGCTGTATGGAAATAGGCTATTTTAGAATACAGAGTGAGAGGACGAAAAAAGTTTTCCATGGATGTGGCAACTATCAATGCGGGTAATAGTTTTAGTATTATTGAATTGGCAGTTAAAAATACTAACTGTTGCACTCATGGTCATAGTTTGATTTTTGCCCAAAAACCACTTAATGATTAATCGTGTTACAGTCGTAAAACTATCTGTACACCAAATACCCCCTCTGCAGCAAACCTGCCGACTAAGCGAATTTCCATTTGCCCGGGTTGATTTTCAATTCATCTATTAAATTAACATTTATGTAACGAGTACCTAGGTTAGCTGCTACAGGGAACTATGGTCTTATAATAATGTGTGTGTTTTTTTTTATTAAAATATCAATAGCTTAGTATGAAATAAATAAATCTGCCAAGTTTGATCAAAATATATCCATAAACAAGCCAACTACTGTACAACATATTATAATATTCTCCATAATAATAACATGGGCATTTTAAATAAGCACATTTTTTTATTTTCTCCGTAACCATTCACCGTACAAAAACACTTTCTTATACTAAATTATTTGTTTTTTAAGCTCTTTAAAAAGGTCTGGAGAAAAATTGATAAATTTTGTGTTTTAAGGGTAAAAAATGAGAAAAACCCATTTTACCCCATAAAAACCCCCGTTAAACCCCGTTCCCATGGTCCGATAATGCTTTTTTTTTTTTTTAACAGAGGGCCAGGCTTACAAGTTACCATGGGATTGCATCGCAGCTAGAACAGCTTATTGTGCACCCTCGTTCACAGGTCCTCATTCTCCGTCAAATCCCAGGTCCTTGGTGAACCGTGAGAGCCTCTTGACTATGGTGACCTGTTCGTCCCTTTGATCTCCCATCAATAGGCCAAGGGATCTCATACGCAGACCTTGTAGGGCTGGGCACCTAAATATACCTTCACAGCTTTCACAAGGTCTCTGGGTGGGGCAAGCCGTAGCGAGATTTCCCTGAAAGGACTCAGCTCCTGAACTTGCTTGACCAGCCAATCCTTTGTGGCTGCGTCAGCACAGCCTCCACCTTTCTTCCTGGAGGCTTCATTAGAGTCAGCTTTGGGGGTACCACCCTTGCCCTGCTTTTTCCCAACATCCTAGTTCCCGGAGGAACTGGCTTTGCAGGCAGCAGAGTTAGGGTGCTTGGCAGCCCACACCAGCCTCCTCTCACTTCTGGATAGCACCTTTTCGCCTTTGGCTAAAGCATCCGCTATCCTCCGTCTTTGCAACTCACCCCTGGAAAGTCGTTTTTCGTACGAGGGATCTCATACGCAGACCTTGTAGGGCTGGGCACATAAATATACCTTCACAGCTTTCACAAGGTCTCTGGCTGGGGCAAGCCGTAGCGAGATTTCCCTGAAAGGTCTCAGCTCCTGAACTTGCTTGACCAGCCAATCCTTTGTGGCTGCGTTAGCACAGCCTCCACCTTTCTTCCTGGAGGCTTCATTAGAGTCAGCTTTGGGGGTACCACCCTTGCTCTGCTTTTTCCCAGCATCCTAGTTCCCGGAGGAACTGGCTTTGCAGGCAGCAGAGTTAGGGTGCTTGGCAGCCCACACCAGCCTCCTCTCACT